ATCCTAACTATTCAGAAGGCTGAGATCTGAGGATCATAGTTCAAAGACAGCCCAGATAAGAAAATCTGCGAGACTCTTTGTCTCCAATCATCACCAGAAAACTGGAAGTGGCACTGTGGTTCAAAGTGGTAGATCACTAGCCTTGAGTGAAAAAGCTCAGGGGTGGAAAGAAAAAAAAAGCTCAGGGATGATGCCAATGCACTGAGTTCAAGCCCATGACCTACCAAACAAAAGGAGGGGGGTATTTCTTATGTCCTCAGGGCATCCCCAGAAGGATTATGAAGAATAAACCACACATTTAGGAAACAGGAGTGGATGGAAGCTTAGAGATCAGTAGAGACAGTAAGGGTCACAGGAAACAAGTGCAGGGGTCAGTGGTGGGGAAGTGAAGACAACAGTGACTCTAAGAGGCTATGGGAAATTTCTAGAAAAGGGAGCTGTGCATTGTCAGACCTTAGAGGCTATTGACATTCCAGGCAGAACTGAGGGATTGTTGGGAATAGAAAATAAATGTTCACATTTCAAAGACTGTTAAGAAATTGTCCCTTGAAATAGGAAAAAAAAACGGTCAGAGTACAGAGAGAGAAGCCAAAGAACCTTGTGCCCTGTGACAGTGGAAGTAATTCTGGAACTAAAACTACCTGGAGAAAGACTGTCTGACCAAGGCCAGGTGCTCAGCTGCGATGCAAAGGAAGAATCCAGGTGAGACCGAGGGCAGGGGAGTGCAGGGAGAGCAGGCCTCTGCCTTCTTCAAGGTTGACAGTGAATGAGAACAGGACTGGCTTGACCTTCATTTCTAACCTTGAAACCATATGAACCACAGAAGATTGGAGTTGTGGGCTACAGTGCAGCATCCAAGGAAAATCATCTTTTGAACACTGGAGGTGAAGGGGACTCTATTAAAACCAAAGTGAGATGGGATACAATTGAAAGTTGACTTCTGGGTCCCCAGAATTAATGCCAACTAGATTCACAGGCTCTCTTCAGTATACCACTGATTTCCTAGTCACGTGATCGAATAGTTCAGAGTTCACCTCACTTCTCCTTTCAAAAGTGCTTTTAACACAAGGTATATACAAGTAAAATAGTATCAACTAGTGATGTAGGTGATGTAAAGAAAGTACTGCAATTTTCCAGAAGTCTTATATGCATTCTGGAGAAGCATGGTTTAATAGGGTATCCATTACTGTGTACAGGAAGTAAGACCTATTGCATATTTAATACAACATATCTAGCTTCAGCATACATACCTGCCTACCTCTGGCACCAAACTTCAAATCCAAGTGATCTCAAACTTTCGTGCACATGAGCAAAAGATTTTTATTGAAAATGCAAGCTTATTGGTTCTAGTAGAGCCCTACAACTTGTATCACTAACAAATCCTCCAGAGGACCCTGTCATAGAAAAAAGACTTTAGAAAAATACCACTTTCTTCCTAGATGTTATTCATGCTTTACATCATAGTAGCTGGCCAATTTCAGGGGCTCAATAGATATGAATGATATTGGATTAATGTGTTCCCAGCCTTAACAGCAATAAGGCAACTATGATGACTTCTTGAATAACCAACTACATCGTTTTCTTAAGAACAGTCATAATTTGAATTATCCCATGTACAAAAATATAGCATGTTGATATATATTTTTTCATGTCAGCCAACTACAGGCTAACTTTTCTTTTCTCCATAAATCATTAGTCCTTAGCCAAATAAATTCTCTTTCTTCATTTTTCCATTTGCCACCCTATGAATCAATGTAGGAGGCAGGTTAAAAATGGAAAAGAATCCGAGTTCCAGTAGCTCATAGCTGTTAATCCTAACTACTCAGGAGTCTGAGATCTAAAGATCAAGATTTAAAGTCAGTCAGTGCAGAAAAGTCCAAGAGACTCCATCTCCAATTAACCACCAATAATACCATACTGGAGGTATGGCTCCAGTGGTATAGTACCAGTCATTCATAAGCAAAAAAGCCAAATGACAGCACAAGACAGTTCAAGCCTCTGCACCAGCACAAAATCATGGAAAAGAAAAACTTCTTTTGAATAAAATATGGTACAGGTATGAACTTTTCTATACTGTTTGTAAACTTTACTACATAATTATGGGTCTCAACTGCTAAACTAAGCTCTAAAAACAATTCTGAATTCTTCTGGTCTTCCTTTAGTACTATTGTTACATATTTATTGACTTACTAATTGAGCACATTTGCTTTTAGGGTAAAAAGGTAGCATTTTAAATTAAATGATATAAGTTACTATAAGTGACTGTCATTACACTTTTTTAACCCAAAAGTACACAAAGACTGGGGAATTATGGTAATTTCATATGAAAGCTTTGCTTTAAAGCTTGTAGGTATGAACCAACAAATGATCCACAAATGACTTTTCACCTCTTGTCCTGGGCTTCAAAGTGAATTTTCTTTTAAAGGCACCTAGTTAACCCCTTACTTGATCATGTTCTTTTACCTTTGGCCCAAAACATCTCACTCAGAGGTGACTGTATATCTCTGAAGACTTTCTAACACCTCCTGAAGTGATTATTTATATCATTTTCATGCAAAAATATCTTATCAAGGCCCAGTTAGTATACAGAGCTGTTTGTTACAGAACAATGTTAGATAGCTCTGCAGTCTGCCACCATTGCTGGGAGGTTTCTGAATTCTGAACAATGTATATGCACACTAAGGGATGGAAACTAAGTTGTGTGTCTCATAAACGTTTTAACATCTGACCCTATTTATGAGCTTAATATCTTCTTGGGCATTGCGATCTGAACAACTACATTAAATTTTTAGTTGAATCCAGTAACCTATCCAGCAGATATTAGAGAAGAGTTGATGAAATACATGGATGTTTAGATAGATAGCTATTCCAGACATGGACCATCTTATGGGTGCTAAAGAAATATAATACTTTAAAAGGTTTTAAAGTAGTTATTTCCTCAATGTCTTTTTTTTCTCCAAACATTAGACCAAGCTGCATTGTTTACAAAAATTTATTCATACAAATTTTACACACTTTATATAACAGTTATCAAAGTCCTACTTATAGATATCATGTGTGTAATAATACTTGATTAAGATTTTTTTATAATCAGTTGCACACAAAATAAGAGCTTCAAGACTAACATCTACCTAAATTATCACTATATCATAAATCTGCTCCAGTGGAGTAAGGCTCTTGGCATTTCTAAAAAGTATACAAAAGATTTAACTAGGTGATCACTATAAAATGCTTGCAACTAGCCACGAGAACACTAAATGAGACTTCACAAATAAAAGGTTAACTAGAGCCCTATTTCACCACTAACAGCTGACACAAACACAGAAAACTCTGCCCATTATCCAAAAAACAAATAATTAAGACTAAAATGCAAGCTGATGTGTTGCAGCATTATAGGGCCACTAAATAGCCATCTGTGATTCGTGGCGATTTAAAAGGCGAAGAAAGGCACTAAAGCTGCAAACCGCATCCCACGTCACATAGCCTGAGGAGCCTGCAGAATTAAAGAAAGATTGATCCTGTAGCAGAACTCAGGCAGAGATCGAATGCCTGTTTTCACTGTCTGCAGTGGGATCTCCTGGCAGCATCCATCTGGCCTGGGAATGCAAATACGATTCTGTGTTCTTTGATGAAAGACTGATTCATACTGATCAGATCCAAATAGGAAAAAGAAAGGTCCTTTGAACTTTACAAACTAATGCTTAGTATTTTTTTCTTCTTTTTTTTTCCAAAAAAATTGTGCCTGAAATTTGGGAGTTGCTGCTTGATCTGGTTGCTGGGTGATGGTTCTTTTGTTTATAAAGATTAGTCTATATGTTCATGAAATTGACAGGATACAGACATGCTTTCTTAGCCAAGAAAGGGTACAAGGGTGGATGGTGGGAGCTTACTCACCTCACTCTTGACCACAGATATAAGATAGTACTCATATATATGAAGATGAGGTTTAAGTGGTTTATCAGTTAATCAAACTGAGCAACATATGAACACTACACATTCTAATATGACAAAGATTTCACTTTATGAAATAAATTTTACTAAGCAATAAAGCCATAATGTAGAAAAATACATTTTACCTACAAACTCAAGAAACAAGAAACAAAAGAAAACAAACATATTCAGTGCAGAATTAGTGGTAGCCACACAGGGTTCCTAAACTTTACAATAACTACTTGCATCAAACAATCACACAAAAACTAAAACATGAGAAGCATTCACAAGTTTTAAGAGAAATGAATGCAAAATGGTGAACTATACTTAAACAGTGCACGAGGATAGGAAGGAGGAGTCCAAAGGAAAACGGTGTTTTCTACAGAGCAGGGCTCAAGGGGGTGGGGGTGGGGAGAAAATCCTGGCCATTTCACAAGATGAGAAGCATGGACAGCACTGGAGAAAAACACATTGTACTTTGCATCCATTTCCACTAGCCCCAGCACCCAAATATCAGTTAGGCAGTGGACCTGTGAAAGGACTGGACTTGTCCCCAGATTCCCAAAACTGGGCAGCCTAAAACCAGTCCGTCTTACAAGGTCCTCCCACTGCCTTGTGCTCTACCTTTTCCAATATACGACTATTTCCTTCACTTAGATCCAATTGCTCTAGCTTTGGGATATTAGGTTCCCTGGTGGATGGGTAACTACAGAGAAGAGAGCTTCCTCTCCCAAGTTTGTCTGTCTGCCCGCCGCCGCCCTCCCCACCCCCTCAAAAGCTATGTGTCTCTCTTCCTTTCCCTCTCCCTCTCTCCCTCTCCATTCCCTTTCTCTCTTCCTCCCTCCTCCCTCTCTTCTATGCAGTTCCTCATCTCTTCCTGTGGGGAATGGTGTGAAATCTGGGGAAAAGCATAATTTGGATCGAGCTGCTGTTTTATTAGAATTTCTTCCTGGGCTGAGAGTCTGAAGAAAGACAAAAACACATAAAAGTAGATTCAAAGAAAGCCAAAGTATTGGAATTATCACCCAGCCAAGTGGGCAATGCCCGCTGGAGTTAGTTACGCCGGGATTGGAGCAGCCTGCCCCAGAGACTCACTGGGAAAGATGCCCTTCAGCAATTCTCCAAATCATCACCTCAAAAATCTCCCTGGAGCAGGGCAGCATTTGTTTATGTACAGTAGCAAATGGTCCATAATAATATGTTCAGGCTTGTGGTGGATAAAAATACTATCCTTTTAATTCCAGTTTACAAAAATAGGAGTAATATTCAAAACAATGATTGTCTATTTTTCTATTTATTTTATATAAAAACATAAACAGCTCAGGCAAATTTTCAATCGGTGTGCACGCTTTGTATGAATTTTTCCTCTATATATTTATATATATATTCTTAATATATAGATTTATAATATATCTCAATAATTGGTCCACAAAGTATAGCTGTGCATTCTCTAGTGCTTTGTAAAAAGAAAAAAAACAATATTATTATCAAAATATCCATTTAATGGCTTTACTTCATACATAAATACATGTTTGGATAGAACACATGAGCGAAGATGACTGTTCGGTTTGGAAAACGACTTTTCATTGTGTCAGGGTTGCTGTGTACACGGGGGTAGCCTGTAACTCAGAGCTACAAATACGCTATTCGACGTCCTTTGTTTTTAACCCTTTGTTTATACCTTTTCCCTAGGACGGCCGCTAAGTATTTCTTGACAGCCATTTGTTTCCGGTAGCGGCTGTAGCTGTCCGTGAAGATTCCGTCCGAGTGGCGTTTGGAGAGCGGCTCCGAGTCGTCGTGCGCGCCGCCGCCCAGGCTCCCACTGCGCGGAAGGGACGGGGAGGGGCGGGGAGGAAGGGGGTGGCGGGGCGGGAGACACAGATTCAATAGCTGCGGGGTGCCGGCGGACCCCACCCCACGCGGGAGCGCACGGGGCTCGCCCTGCCCGCCCATCGCCATCCGTGGCCAGCAAAAGCAGCCAAGGGGGAGGGCTGAGATGGAGACACCCACCCCCTCAACTCCTCCCTCCCCACCCAGGACTTTGGGGACTCCCCCGCCCCCGAAAAACCGCACCCCCTTTCTCCAAACGCTGCCTTTGAACAGTTCACCACCCGTGCATTGGTGCTAAACTATCCGAACTACATCTTTAGATATACCACCACCACCACCATCTACAAAGAACATCACCAATGGGCCCTACGTGCCACGTGGGCCGCTGCCATGGAGTTTATATCGATCCCGCCAAGGGCTAATCAAGAGCCAGGACCCCTTCTCCTTCCGCACGCTAACTTGAAAAACGTGATCATAATATAAGTCGACAGGCTGAAGGCAATATTTTTTTTCCACCGCATGAATTATTCATTGCGAAAATGTAATCTGTCTTCCCGTGGGCTTTATGAAAATGTGGCCTTCTGCGGAGATGGCCTTCACGGAAGCCCTGGGCTCTGGGTTTGTCCGGCACGAGCGAAAACTGTTTGCCTGAAGTGTCCAAATTTGGGGGATTTGTTTACTTCGATTGGAATTTCCAGCAAGGGCAATGCCCCTCCTCCCTCCGCCCAAAAATGGCATGCTTAAGAGAAAGAAAACACGAACAAAAAGAAAGAAAGAAAGAAAATGACAGCAAAGCCTCCCTGGAACCCAAAAGGCTCGGGGTGCTGGGGAAGGGACCGCTTGATTTCTTTCTTTTCATCCAAAACGGATCCAAGTCCCCAGTTTTCCTGACCTCATCCCTTCTCACCGAGTCTCCAGGTCTTCCGCCAAATTCAAAGCTGCGCTGGGCAGCCAGTTCCCCCACCGACCCGACCCCGGGTCGCAGACAGACGCACACCCACCCCACCCCGCCCCACCCCGCCCCACGAGCACGCGCAGACGTAGAGGCCGGGGCGGGCGGGTGCGCGGCCCGCGCGCTCCCCCACCCTGCGCGGCCCGCACGCGCGCACGCGCGCGCCCGTTAACTCTTTCCCAAACTCTTACCCCCCAGCCGGGGCCACGAGGGACTGCAGGTACTTCCTGGCGGACAGCTGGTCCAGCACTTTGCGGTAGGCCATGTTAAGGATCCCGTGGGCGACATCTCTAACGGGAAGACAGAAGTGCGGGCCTAGGGGTCACTACCTCGGTCCCCAAGTGACAGCTTGGGGGACCCCGGTGACAGAGAACCCCGGAGCTTCTCTGGGGAAGTTTCCGAGTTGGAATGCTCGGATCTGGAATCCGTCCTGGACTCTGGAGGTGACAGGGATTGCATCCGGGCTCCGCGCCCACCGAGGCTCACCCTCTTGGACACTCCCCGCTACTAATTTTCGGTCGCTCCCGTGGGATCCGAGAAGAACGCTCCCCCCGCCCCGACCCCTCCCCTCTGCGGGCCCCCACCTGTCCCCCCGCCCCGGCCCGCTGCGTCCCGCGGGCCGTACCTGCGGCCGGCGGGGTGGAGCGGGGCGTAGGCGTCGTGCAGCGCGGAGGCGGGGCTCGCGGCGCCCGGCGGCTCGGCGTCGTACCAGTCCTGCAGCGGGTTTCCGTCCTCGTCGTAAGCCTCGTCCTCCGGCCTGCAGGGTAGCCAGAAGGAGTGGTCAGTTCAAGTCCCTCCCCAGCTGCCACCTCCGATCGTCCCTTCTTCAGCGAAAAGCCCCCAGCTGAAGAAGGGTCCTTCCTGGGTGAACCGGGGTGGGGCAGGGGCCGGGAGGAACTAACCCCACCGACTCGTCTGCCTCCACCTCTCCCCTCGCCCCCCATCGACAGATACAGGGTTGCCCTCGCCGGTCACCGCCTCAACGAGCTGCGAGAAACAGAGTCCAAGCCGTCCCAGCGTACCTGACCACTGAAAAGGACCGTTCCCCGACCCCTCCTGGCGCCCCAGCCTCCCCCTCCCCGCCCCATGTAGCGAAGAGAAGGAGGGGGGGGGATGAGAAAGGCCCCCAAAGGGAAGCGGCGACCCACGCGGAGGCTGGAAAGGGGAGGTTCCGATCGGAGAGGACGGGCGGCCGGGGTGTGCGGTGGCCAGGTCCGCCAGCCACCCCCACCCAAAGCCTCTAAGCCCCGGGGAGCCCTTTCCCTGCGCAGATGTAGGTCACGGAGAACCTCCGAGCTTCTATTCTGGGCCGCAGAAAATCTGGCAGGAACATGAATAATAGATGCCCCTAAACTTAGCCTTTTTTGGCGACCCGTTGTGTCGGAGCACGCCCGTGCCTCTCCAACCCAGGGAAGAAGCGCCAGGCACGTGGAACTTTGAAAAATAGCTGGAGGCAAAGTAAAGGGGGCTTTTTTTTTTTCTTCTTAATCCACGAAATAAACAGTCTATGCTCATCCGTTCGGGATGGGCGGGTGGCCGGGGCCACTGGAAGCTCACTTTCTTCCCGGAGCAGGGGAAGGGACTACAGGGCAAATCCACGTTCTGCGGGGAGCTGGGCGACCCCACAAGTCGTCCCGCATCAGCCTCCTCCATCCTTGATACAAAGCGGATGGGTCAACACGCAAAGCCCCATTGCTTTAGGCCGTTGGAAGCGCTGGGCGAGTGTCCGGGACAGGTAGCACTCCCTAAACAGGATTGGAGTCCCCCTTGGTCCGTCCGTTTGCTTTTCCTCCATCCCTGGAGAGGCCAGAACAGCCGGACAAGAGCTCAATCCCTCGGTGACCGGGTCTTTCTAGCCACTTTCTGCCCTGGGTCCACATGCAAGGGTCCCAACGCCCAATCTAGAGTCGGTCTCTGCCGCCACGTCGCTGGTCAGCGCTCCCCGAACGCGGAGCGTCTTGGGCGCGGCTCCCAGAGTGGCCCCGCCGCTCGCGTCCCGCGCTCCGCCCTGCCCCGAGCGCCACGCGGCGCAGTCACTTCGCCGCCCGACTCACTCCCACCGTCCCGCACACCGGGCAGGGGGGTTTTCTGAGGCTGCAGGCGGAACCCAAGCAGCGCTGCACGATTAGAAACCCGGGGTGAACGGGGAAGTGGGGGGGGGGGGGGAGAAAAGAAAGAAAGCAAGCCAAGGTTCCAGCGTCGTGAGATGCGCGGGGCGCTCCTCTCGCTCCCGCCTGCCTGCTTGCTTTCTTGTCCTCCTTGGCTTTCTCCCCCTCGCAGTGTCCTTCTCCCAAGTCGCTTTTCCTTTACCGTAACCGGCCAGCACCCCCCCCACACACACACACACACACGCCGCCCCAAGATAGTGTGGGGACTCAAATTCTGGTTGGAACCCGGATCCCTGGAAAGAAAGCTCTCTGGGGCAAAGAATTGGAACGGGCGGCCGAGGAAGGGCGGAGAGCGGGAGACCCCGCCCCAATAGTCCCGAAGCCGCCCGAACAAAGCCAAGTCGCACGCACAAACCCCAGGCCTAGTTCTGGGAGCCCAAGTTCTTGGAACATCATCCGAAGAAGCCAAGCTGGGGACCCCGCACCGACCCCTTCCTTGGAAGCAGGCTGGGGGAGGGGCCTGAGCTCACCGGCTCTGGCGGAGCCCCTGGGCTCTGGGGGGCTGGAGGAGGGGCGCCCAGCCCCCCCCCCCGCCGCCGCCGCCGTGCGTCCCGTCCGCTGCTTAGTGGGCTAGGGGACGGGGTGGGGGGCAAAGCCAAAGCTGGATCCGATGAGGAAGACGACCAGGAGACATCCGGCGAAGAGAAGCCCCAGCCCAACCTAGGTGTCCAAGACTTACCTGATCCCGGGGAAACGGAGTCCGGCGGCGGCAGGTGAGCAGTAGACGCTGCTGTGCATTATTATTCCATAGACCAGCAGGGCCAGCCTGGCTCCGCTACACATGGTCATCCTGCGCAGGATAGAAAAGAGGGCACGCAATGGGTGAGAATGCCCTGGCCTTCCAACCTCCTGCCCCAAGAAACTCCGGAGCTAGGGGAGAGAGCTAAGCTCTGGCTCCTGGAATTGAATACCACTTAGCCACAGTCTTCGCGCGCCTTGCCACTTGCTAGACCTACGAAGGGGGAGGGCGGATATGTATGTATATACTCAGTGCCCAGTAACTAGCCAGACCTGGGAACGCTAACTCGTACCCTGATGCCTATACCAGACCGAGAAAGAAATAGCCATAGGCAAAAGAGTCGCTTAGTTCGCTGAGATCTTTTCCCACTCACTATTCAACTCTTACCCCTGCTGGCGAAGGTTTGCTGCCAAGTAGGACGGCGGGCAAAGGGCTCCTTCGAGTTTCTGCGCTGGAATCACAATCCGAGAAGCATCCCCCGTCTGGCGTCGGTGTCTAAGGAGAAGCCGCAGGGATGCGCAGCAGCCGGAGGACTCGTTTGCTGAGGCTAGTATTCTGGTCAAAAGTTTGTACACGCACGGAACTAAGAGGGAGCGTGACACCGACAAAAGGGGGCGAGGAGAGAGATGTAGAAGAAAGGAGATGAGCCAAGGGGGCGGCGGGGGGGGGGGGGGGGGAGGGAAGTGGCCCTAAGTCCACTTGGAGAAAGAATCAAGATTAAGGAAAAGAGGGAAAGTCAAAGGTAAAGAGGGAAAGTCAAAGAAAAAGGAGAGGAAGGAAAAGGGGGAGGGCTGGCTGCGGAGCCGGCCGGCCTCTACCGAGTCAGGAAGCTGCAAGAGTCGGCAGAGCCTTCTCGGCTCTGAGGTCCGTCCGGCTGCCTCTGGAGGTGCGGCTGCTTCTGTGGCTGCTGCCAGTGGTAGCAGAGGTGACCGGCCTTCTGCTGGTATTTATATGTGCAGTGAGCACACCATCTATCCGAGCATGATTTCAGGAGAGCTCTCAGTGTCAACATCTGTCTGCCTGTTGCCTTTAAGTACAGACTATTTTGTTGCACTGTTGCGCTCCGATTTTTATTCATGAAATGACTTCCTTTTTTTTTTTCTTCAGTCACGTAATGATCGAGTATCAGTAAAAGACGTCAGCATCCTGGTCCCTCAAGGAACATATTAACTATTCTGTGCTGTCCTCTAGGATGATAAAATCCGGAGTCATCGACTTCTCATAAACACCTTTCACTCATACAAACCAATCTTTAAGAAGTCCAATTATTTTGATGGTTTTCAATTTTACCCACTTTTCAAGGACAGGTAAAGAATGCAAAGAAATTGGAGAATGGTAAAAGTCATGTTTGTTTTTTAACTGTAAGCCTCCTGTACGTCTTCTCTCTCTCTCTTTTTTCAATCAAGCCTTACCAATGAGCGCTCTGGCCTCTGGAATTAAGCACCATCAAGCTCTCCTATTAATAAATTTAATTTAGATCTCCTAATTTCTTGCGTATGTTCTTTCAGATAGACAATTAAATGTGGAAGTCGTTTTGTTTTTAAAGGGAAGTCTTGGAGGATTTTCAGTAAATCTCTAATGAGTCTGGCTGTCGTTGACAGTCTGGCTAGGAGTAGATTGATTATAAAGCTTAGGCTAGGCCCCAGAGATGGGCCAGTGGAGCTCTCCAGGTTCTTGGTGCTGAATTGTTGGGGCGCAGATGCTCCAAATGTTGAAAATTGCCATTGCTTTAATTTTCACCAGAGCCTCTAAATCTGAAGCATTGGCAATAGTACTGTTAATGTGGCAGTTCATTGACTAAATTACCCCAGTGTCCAGGTGAATATTCCCCCTTTTGCTGCATCCATGAACACCCTAATGTGGACAACTCTCTTGTACCCTGCCTCAGGTTTCAGAAAGAGCTTTCTGTCTCTCCTAAGTCCTTACTTTTGGGTCTCTCAATTTCCTCTTTGCACACCTTCACACTTTCTGTGGATCTTACTGGTTTCAAAAATTGAAACTGTGGCATCATGTTTTCCACAAGAATTGAAATTTTAAGATTTTGAGAGTGAGAAATATGATTTTTACACTTTCTTTACAAGCTGAGTACTGTAGAGAAATACAGGCAGGCTGGGAAAGGAGGAGAATCCCTAGTGCAGTTTATTCACTGAGGATTTCTAACAGAAATCTCTTCCTATGGCGTCACTCATTATTTTTTTAACTAAAATGACATGGGAAGGGGAAAGCAATAAGGAAAGACCACATCTATGTTGGATCTTCCAAGTCCCTGAGCAGTTCAAGGAAATTTATGGCTACTCCAGTAAGAAATCAGGGGTCTTATTTCTTTTAAAGGAAAATAACCATTAGTGTGCATTTTCATTATTTGGATCTTACACAAAAAAAATTAGAGGAAATTACAATCAAATGGGAGTGTTTCCCGTTACTATGATTTGGATCTAACATTCAAATAAGCTATTTTTAATTCTGCATCATTTTTTTCGAAGGCAAAATGTTTTCCATTCTTAATGACTTTCCTTCTCTTGAGATTTAGTGCTTCCTCCAAGAAGTCAAGGTTTTGTTTGCCTAGTTGGGACCATGAATGGCCCAAACTTGTTCATTTTCTCTGACTTTCCTCCTAGCCATGCAGTAGATCACCCATCTTCAAGAAAGCTTCCTATGTGCATGGATGTGTATCTCTCTGTCTGGGCTGCATATGTTGGCCGGTTTGTGTTGCAGAGTTTACAGACGTGTATTCTGTGTTCAGCTCAGCTGCAGCTTCCACACAAAGAGCCTGCGGTGAACAGGACGGGATAATCAAGCCGAGAAATCCTTCTTACTAAATTGCCCCAAGTTATTCCCTACTGTGGCTTTCCTGACTTCCGCCCTGCTTCGCGTCAAAGGTGAGCCCCATTAAAAATCCTTGCTCAGCCCTCCCACGCGAATTCCGAAATGAGTTCAATTTGGAGAAATAGTTGAAAATCTCCAAGATTTCCTTGCACAAGTCACCATCCAGCGTTAGTAAAGGGAGCCACCATGTGGGGAGTTTGTTGCCTTGACCGCCTATTATGATAGGGGAAACCACAAATGGGAAAATCTGCGAGGATGAACTGTGAAGTTGGAGGGCCTTGCAAGTGTCTGCGGCTTGCAAAGTCTGTGTCACCTGCACTGGTCCCGTGTGGGGACTCTGAGAGGGGAACTTGGGGCCCAGCGGCGCCAAGCTCAGAAACCTGTAGGCTTGAACTGCAAAGGCTGGAGTGAAAGACTAAGCCGAGAACTTCACGGTTCCTGGTCATTGAATTCCAGAAAAGCTGTGCCATCTGCCTGGCCGCACAATCTAACCACCAACCCTGTCCCACCCTCAGCAGCCTTTCTAATTGGGCCCGTTAGGCACCGTCCCAGCAGGGAGCTTCCAGCTCCTAGATCTCTGGCAGTGGAGGGAACTGGTCTGGGGAGCAGGGAAGGTTGCTGGCGGAGGAGAAGCCACAGGCAGGCCCCAGGGTCCCACAACCACCTTACTTGTCAAGTCCACCGCCAATGGCCAAGAGCTCAGGCCCTTTAAGCTTTCTTTGGGTTGGAAGGTGTAAAACCTCAAAGATCAAAACTGCCTCCCTAACTATCCCTCTGGAGAGTAGGAATTTGCTCTTCGCATGGGAAGGGGGGAGGGGAGGTGGACTTGGTCTCGGAGACCTCTGTGGAGCAGCTCAGAGGAGAGGACCGTCAGCCTGGACCCGGGGGCTGGAGAGACCGCGAGCCTCCTAGCGTGCCATGACCAGAAGGCCGAGCATACGCCGTTTATTACAAATGAAGAGGCAAACCTGGCCTAAAGTGCTGGGCTGTGCCACCGATCCAAAGGACCCTTCAACAAAAGCACCCTGGGCTAGGAAGAGAAGCAGGGAGGCTGGAGGGAGAGGAGACCGGGGAGGAACATAACGGCAAAGAGCCTTCTAATTTTTATTCCTACCCAGTTTATTTCACACAAAGGGATTTTTATATCCTCCTGCGGTGACTGAGGTTCAGAGCCTGGTGAAACCTCCAGATTTCCTAAATATAACTATAAATGACTCAGGTGGGGAGGGGTCCAGAAGTGGGACTTCCTGTTTACAGAGAACACAAAGGAAATGTCAAGCCTTCTTCCCAACAACCCGACTCCTTCCCCTCATCATTTGGCAGACAAACGCTCCCTGGCTGGCAAAGTTTCTTTCCCAATGAAGAAAGCAAAGTCAAAGATGTTATTATAGCTGGAATAATGGTCAGTTTGAGAAGTTAAAGGAACCAAGAAACTCTTCACAAAGAAAAGTCTCACCTGTGTGTTCCCTGAGTCAGAGTGACTGAAGATGATGTTCGGGACCAAAGTATATGGAAAGACTTGTTGGACATGATGAACTTGTGCCTGTGCCAGCTCCTGTTTTATATCCTTAGTCCTTTCAGATAGGAAAACAATTTCTGATCTGATATGGCAAATGTAGCTAAACGTCAAACTAACCAATTCCCTGAATTATTTCCTCCCCCAACCCCCATCCTGGAGATGTCCTTGCTGATATCCAAAGTCTTGGACCTTGAGTCAACCCTCAATTCAAAGAATTATTTTAGCCTTTGGAGTAAATTGTTGTGACCGGAAGAATATGTCTAGTAGCTTTGATTTGTAAATGGTTTCACAACAAGAGTGAATGCTATAGTATTTGTACTCTCTTGGCTCCTAAGTTCCAGCTCTTTGAACCACCTCTACTTGGGCCACTTACTTTCCTCAACCTAAACAGAAAGTTTTGTGTGTATCTTCATCCTGATCATCATTTTCCAGACCCCATTTGCAAATCACTGGTGAGCAAGTGAAGATGAGTGAAGCAGGACTCGATTCTCTAGGTAAGATTTCCACTCCTTTCCTCCTGACCCAGTCACTTATACCTCCCGGTACTTTACATGAGTCACTTGCCCTTCCTTTGGTTACTTGCCTGCCTACATTGCCCTTCACCACCCACTCCAACAGATTGAGGCTGACCATATAAAAGGAAATGTTTGTACAAAGCATCAAGACTGGAAAACTATGCACTCTCATTCTGTTCTTTTGTAGCCAGTTCTCAGCAGAAACACTAGGCTCTAGTGAGTGCTTTTGGTGAACAAGCTTGATGCAGAACATTATCCTCTCCTCTGAATGACAAAGTGGATTATAACCCTGTATTCAATTTCACTCTCAACTTTCTCTCCTCTGACTCTTCCAGCAAACGCAGTGACTAATGACTCACTTCATGCCGATTACACCTGGAGGGAAACCCAACTGTTCTGCAATAGAACATCATGACCATCACTTACTGGACTGCATGCATCATGATCTCCTGAACTCACTGTGAAATAAGGAGTTGGTGAGCTGATAAGAGTCACGACTTTTCTGACCTTCAGAGCGTGATGCCTCACATACTCTGAAAACAACCAAACTACATTAACAAAGCATTTCTCTCTAACACAGATGGCAGAATTGCATATTCATTGGTCCTCAGTGGACCAAGAAATTTTGTGGGTTGTTTTAAGGCACAAAGTAGACAGCAAGAGAAGACAGGTTGCAACTTTTCCTGTGGTTTTGGGTGATTTCAATTGTCCCACATGTATGCCTTTTCTAAGGCCTAGTTATCTAAACATTAA